CACCATCATCATGCTGACCAACATAGTAATTACCACTACCATTTTCATAATAACATCCTTTTTTTTGTTGAAAGTAAGAGTAAAAAGATGCACAGAAAGACTTACTTGCAGTAGCCATTCACTACTCTTCCACTGACGACTTTTTCCAGGCATTTCCAGTCATCTGGCTCACCAGACACAGGTCCACCGATCATGATTGCGTCTTGGATTATTCCTTCGCTTCCTAAATTGATAGACATTAATAATTAAAAGAGTATGGGAAATGCATTGGTTCAATGGGGAAGGCGCAAGAATTTAAGTCCAAGTCTCTTTCTAGCGCTTTCGCGATATTTGAAGACCCTATTTCACTCACCCACACTACTGCTACATTCAGTGTTTTATGTATGYGACACTCAACTCACATGTTGATTTTTACGGAGGAAGGAAAATCGAAGAAACGAGAGAAAGCCCTCGTAGCATAGGAAAGAACGATACATCAAACAAACTCTAATCAAAAACTAGCTTGGGCGAGGGGACGAAAGGGAGGGAGGGAGGGAGCAAGGAAGCAAGGAAGCAAGGAAGCAAAGGTTGAAGGGATCAAGGAAGGAAGGTGATTGAAGAAAGGATTGAAGGAAGGATCGAAGGAATCAAGGAATACCTTTCATGGAACTCATTGTCTTCAAGCATTGAAAAATAACCCGGGCTCCAAAGCTGAATCCCACAAGTGTAACTGGCCGATGACCCTGTAAATAGTTTWAAAAAATCAAACACATGAACAGATTTTCCACTATTTAGAATCAAGAATGAAAACCGTTGAACTCCATTCAAACATAGTTAATGGAGCGGAATGGTTTGGAAACTCCATAGAACAAAGCTATTGTTTTGCGTTTGATGTTGAACCGTACCATCACGAGATACTGACCGTGCACAATGAACCAAAGCAAGTAYGGTTYCACTCCGCTCCATTAACTATGACTCAAACAAACAAGTTATTCAGATTCAAATAGGATCAGTGAAAAACTTCATTGAGTCTGGCGTTCATAAATTCCACCATCCGTTATTGTCACAAAACAAGAGGTAGACTGTGAGCAGTCCCATTTTCCCTTTAGACTCAGTAACGAAGAATTTTTAGGATTCCTGTGGAGATTGTCTCCATTCTCCGCGCGTCCACAGGAATCCTAACAACTCGTCTTTACTGAGTGTGGAGGTAACAGTGGGACTGTGCACGCAGTCGAAACCACAGGTAGCCCAAGCTTGGTTTCTGTGGTGCCATGTTATAAGGAATTGAATCGAAAGAAGTGATCTCAAYGATCAGGTAAAATTTCGAGGCTTTATTTCACGTTTCAATGATTTTATTGAAATTTTTGAAGAATCCCCATACATTTCCTCATAACACGACACCACAGAAACCAAGCTTGGGCTACCTGTGTCTAAACAAGAGGAGGATGAACTTCTCCTTTTTCTCTTTCGTCCCTTCCGCCTCCATTTCCGAARTTTTCCGCGCCAGATGCATCACAATCCCCTCGTGTCAGGCCAATAACCCTTGAATATATATATGCTTACATATTGTCTGTCCATTAGTACATGAGCGAGATGTTTGCCTACTTCGGCTGATCTCGACGTACAAACACTCCAGGGGTTGTCGATAATGTAGCCAAACTTGAGAATGGTTAATGGCCAAGATATCGCACTTAAAATACCTGAAAATAGTGGACAGCGGTATATTCACATGTACAAAAGTGCCGCGCACCATATCATGCTTAGGGGTGGGTGGGTGGGTCACGCATATAGACCCCTTGCACTGATTTCCTGGAGGAATTGTTCTGGCGGACAAAACAATACACCGTCTGAAGGCATAATACTAACAAATCATTCATGATTGTAAGCTGCACGGCTGCTAATAGTGGCTTAATATGCAGCCCGTAAAGTCCTCCACTCTTCAGTCTTGTAAAGCGCCATTGAGTTCTTGGAAATGGCGCTATATAAATTCATCCCTTTACCCTTTTTCTGTCTTTTTTTTATGCAAATAAAAAAAAAAAAAAGAAAAAAAGAAAAAAAAAAAGTCCCCCAGAACAATTCTTCTTGGGACTCAAGGGACGCAAGGGGTGCAAGGGATCCATTCTTGATGTCGTTGGAATGAATGTGCAAAAAGTAAGAAGTGTGTGCTGATTTATACATCACAAGGATTTGTGGGTTACCTATTGTTATGACAGTTTTATGCTTAATGTCTGGTACTCAGAATAGTAAGGGAAAGGCTCCTCTTTTATTGAGGGGCGAGGTGGGCTGGATCTTCAGAGGAGAGGGTCTTCATTAAAAAACTTTTGAACTTAAAGAACTTTTGTGGAGGGTCAAACCTTTTTATTTTGACGAAAGCTGTTGTCTTTTTGACTTAATAGGAGGTCAGGAATTTCTTACTGAGTGGAAGGGGAAGGGCTACAATCATTTTCAACACGTTTACTGCGAATCCCCCCAGTCTCCCCCCCTCCCCAATAAAAATGTTCCTTATCAAAACTTTTAGACACCATAGGGCTTGTCACCGTCCTCTCCGTGCTCGCTGTCAAAGAAAGCCTTATTGCCTACATATATACCTTGAATGATTGTATGTTTTATAGCTTCCTCTGCAGCCATTGATATAGCAGTTGCTGTGATGAAGCTTGAAATGGCGGTACCCAACTCGAGAAGATACCTGAAGACAGCATGTTACACAAGGATTTCAAATAAGGTTCTCCAGCTCATTGATAATTCATAAGCTCGACAACAAAAACGTCGTATTTATAGTTCTGCTCCCCGTAGATAYCGTTGCTATGTCCTAGAAGCTCAACGAATTAACTACAATATCTCAGAATTTAATTAAAACTATCGCAAATAATTCATTATTTTTTCTTTGTTTACTGTCTTTCAAAAATAGAAATTTCGCATTCCATGTAGTACGCTTTAAAGCAGTTACTGTGTAGTTTGTGGGACAAGACTTTAATTCCACTGGGAAAACTACTACAACGGTGACTGGTTCTCTATTGTCTGAAGTGGAACCATGAATTTGGTCTGATCGACGGCCGTTTTGAAAGGTATTTTTCACGTTGCGTTGCGTAAGGAAAACCAAACCATGAGAATATTTGTTCTGTCTAAAGTTGTGCGGCTCAATAAGACATCAATAAGAAAGAAAGAAAAAACCCAGGCTTTTTTGATCCATACTTACTTTGATTCCCACTTCAAGCTGTACTGCTCTCTTCCCAACTTCATGTTCTTCCATGGTTCTATGAATCCAATTGGCGCACCCTCAAAGGCTAAGAGAAAATTGGTGTATGAGGATGGAATGGAATTGAAGAAATAGAAAACGCGCGCGCGTGCTGTGTGCAGTTATAAAGCACGCGGAGATTGGCAGAACATGAGAGAAATGTTAGCAGACGCTCAACGCGTAGCGGAGTGCTTCTCGACACTTCTCGAGTGTTCTGCCAAGCCCCAAGTGCTTTGTAACTCCACACAGCACAGCAATCGGGTTTTTAATATATTTTTTATAAAATGCAAAGGGCGCTTGCGTGCTGTGTGCTCCCATAAAGCACGCGCTCCCAACCAATCAGAATGCGAGATATATAACAGTTATTTTATAATGAATAAACTTAAAACATAGAAAAACGTGGTTTTTTCAACCTTCTGTACTTACAATCCTYATCTTGTCTCACCCAACCTGATATTGCAATAACTACGTGAAGATGATTYCCTTTGCTCAGCCTCTCAAATTCAAACTGCTCGATGTCTCCTAGTCTTCGGCTTAGCTTCTGGCCTTTGAAAAGATGCAAGCATATAGAGTACATGTCAATAGATATTTTACGAAATGCGTGACCACGATGTCAAAAGTATGGCGAGCTCAGATTCTAAAATGATGCAGTTATATTAGTGCAAGATTTTACGCGCGCTATAGAACACACCGGTATACAAAACTTTGTTAACGAAGGAATACTTTGAAGTATTTTTAGTTCGGGAGCAAGATTATGACTTTAAGAAAAAATGTAGCTCACTTCAGACATAATCTTTCCTTCAAGGGTTTCAGAGTTCGCCTTTCACTCTATGGTTTCCCCGGAAATGCATCGTATTCATGTCTGTGCCTGTGATATTTATGGAAACGCTAGCGAATGTCTTTCTGTCTTCCCATCTGTCTGTAAGTCTGYTCATCTGTATTTCTGTCTGTGTTTGTCTTAGTCTGTGTGTCTGCCCGTCTGTCTCTCTGAGTGTCTGACTGTCTATCTGTCTGTGTGTCTATGTCCATCTGTCTGTCAGACTATATCTCTGTGTGTAGTAACTTTACCTGTTAATCCAGCTCCTGCTGCACCGAACAATGACGTCAGAATGGCCACACCCTTGATGGATGCTATGGCAACCGCTGCACTTCCCCCAACGACAGAACCCACCCCTGCTGCGATCAGAGGAGCCGCGAGTCCACCGGTTAGTCCTAGGGGGAGAGATGAAGAGTAAAAAATACATATGCATTTGTATGTATATAATGGTGAATATGACACGGGTGGTTAACCGTAAGACGGAGCGTGATATGTAGAAGAATGGATACAAAGAAAAAAAGATAGAAAGTTGGATATTGGACGGACGGACGGATGGATGGATAGATGGATGGATTCATGGATGTATGGCCGACAGGATAGATGGAGAGAGGCAAGGCTTGGTATTTTTCATGGTAATTGTTAATAGAATTCTTTCCAAGGTCGACTTACCAATMAGTGCACCGCCTCCAATAGCGCCAAGAGCGATCCACATACCGCGCCGAAATTTTCGTGAGGACTCATCTTCTTTTCTTTTTTCATTTTCTTCGCTAAAATTTACATTGGAGGCAAAAAAGTAGGTGAGTAAAGCTTGTTAGGTCTTTCGCTTGATTTGAGGGTTTTCTCCAGATTCTCCACATTTCATTTCTTTCTTCTTCTTCGGTGAAACCCTCATATCTCATACCCAGCAGCTATTTGCAGGGTTCGATCGGTGAGTTCGCCGTGCCCTGACTTAGATCAGCCCAGAAGTTGTTTCAGGGTTTGTGAGTTAGCCATACCCTGACTTAGATCAGCCCAGAGGTTGTTTCAGGGTTCGATCTTTGAGTCAGTTGTGCCTGAGTTTGATCAGCCATGAGGTTGTTTCATGATTCAATATGTGAGTTTACCATACTTAGATCAGAGCAGAGGTTGTTTCAGGGTTCGATCTGTAAGTTAGTTGTGCCTGAGTTTGATCAGGCATAAGGTTGTTTTAGGGCTCAATCTGTGAGTTGATTAACTTCGCACCGACTTAGATCAGCTCAGTTTCAGAGTTCGATAAGATTTAAAGATTTTGCCCGACAACGGCGCACGAGGTAACTACTRCTTATCGAATCAAAACGCCAAGATCAACATTATAGTCACGGCCGCACGGCTCGTCTGCATTTTTCTTTTTTCGCAGTCTATGAAAGTTACTCCATGATACTTCACCGAGGTCCGTATCGTACTTCATCAAGAAGCCTAACAACCCTACCTGTCTTCTTTACTTTTCCGGTTAACATGTAGTTGGTCTACAAGCTCATCTTCGAGGTCAGCTACATTGTCTGGCGAGATGTTTAGTTTTACAGCTATACTGTATATCAGGACTCGAAGACGTGCATCATATTTTTCTATAAAAAAAAACAGACAGAACATTATAAACCTTACTATAAAATATAATTTATTCCAAGATCCCTCAAAATTACTTATTTCATCTGTTAATATTTTTAGTAAAAACAACTTAAGAAGTAGCTAGTAAACCCGGCCTTAATGTACATCTGCATCGGTTGGAGATCTGGGATGCTTACCATTTACCCGGAAAAACAGGAAATTCCAGTTGGGAAACGAGTGATGATCAACTTTTCATGCTCTTTACGGTTCTTCCGGTAGATGCGTGAAAAWTTTTTTTTTGAAAGTTCAAAGTTTCCCGCACTTTTCTTACCATTAACGAATGAATTTCCAACCAGATGGTTTGGTTTAAATGGTAAGCACGCCTGGAATCTAACACCGAAATGAATTGTAGGATGTAAGGCCCTGGCTAAACGAGGAAACATGTTTCCAGAAACATATTTACCGCGTGCATGTTTCCTCGATGCTTCCCAGTTTAGCCACATGCGAGACATTGCCGCCTGCAACAAATTTTGCTTCCAAGACGCAAAAAATGTTTTTGCTGTGCGGCAGAAACATTTCATGTTTCCAAGACGCATGGAGTCGTAGGCCATTCGGGCTGTTTGTTAAATCATGCCTTGAGAAGTTTATTCTGATGCCCATCAAGAAAGAAAATTGTTTAACTTACGTRACTTAAGTGCAAATAAAATCAAATCCTTGGGATAAACAAGAAAACAAAATATTAACACAGTGGGGAAAAATATATTAATATTGAGAACAAAAGAGATCTATAGGATGACCATGAACTTATTTAAGAAACAAGCCAGCAAG